TGGCCGTGGTGAGCACAAAGGGGGCAGGTGGGGGCGGGCCCCCTCCCACCTGGGGACCGGTCTGGGCCCTGCCCTGTGTGTGTGGAGAGGGGGTGCCCCCAGGGGCGGTCGGCGGGTGCAGAAGCTCACAACCTCACCGGCTTCCTTTCCCTTCTCTCTGTGTGTTTTGTCTCCGGGCTGTTCGCCTGTCTCCTTGGGGGTGGGGGTCGTCCCGGGTAGTTTCTGCAGGATCCAGATGAAGAAATTGCCAAGATCGACAGGACCGTGCGGGGCCCGTGTGGCGATCAGGTAGGTTCCCACGCTGCCGGGGCCTCCCGGGGGGCCGCCTGCGCTGGCGGGGGCCTGACCCGCCTGGGTCTCGTGCTGTCCTGCCAATGGCCAGAGGCTTTCGCGGTGGCTGCCTCCTGGGCTGAGCAGTGCCTGCTGTGGGGACACGGGCCTCTCGGCCTCAGTTTCCGGGAGGGCTTGTGTTCCTCATGGTGCGCGTGTGGAAGAACCAGGATGGACATGGGGTGTCCCAGTCCGCCCCTTCCTGCCTTAGGACACTGAGCCTCCCCCAGAGTCCTGTGCAGCAGGGGTGGTCGGCCTCGGCTGGTCTGTGGGCGCGTGCCCCGGGGAGGGCTCCTGCCTCCCTCTCTGGGTGGCTGCGATGATGGTCTGCGTGGGTCCATCAGCGGCTTCTCCGCCATTCACACTGTGCTTACGCCTCCTGGGGCTTGAGGCCCTCCCGGGCCCTTCTGTCTGTCTGTCTGTCTGTAGGTCAGGTTTAACCTGTGACCTTCCTTCTGGAAGGTCTTCCAGCCCATCTAGCAGTTGCCAGTCGTGATCATTGCAGCCCGGGCCCGGCCTGGCCGTGGAGGCCAGAGGGTTAATGGAACGCTGTGTGTAGTAAGTGTGTCTCAACACACATTTCTTACTGACTGGCCCGTGTCCCTCTCCCCTCCTTCACCGACTTCCCGCCAAATTGCCTGCACGCGCATGATATCACTATAATATCAGAAGCTCCTGGCAGAACAGGCGTGGATTATCTCTCTGCCTCAGAGATGGCTGCGGACTGTAGTTCTGGCTGCAGCCGGGGAGCTGCCTGTCTCCACACCGACCCCTCCGCAGGTCGAAGCTGAGTGGGGACCCCACCTGCGCCGAGGGCAGGGGGCCTGGCCAGGTGAGCCGTGGGCCGCGCGTCACTCCTGGGCCCGGCAGCTGGGCGTGGGAGAGCGAGGGCCTGCAAAGTGCCCTCACCGGGTCCCTGCACAGGAGGCCCGGGCGTGAGCATCTCTGGGCCGACTCCACTGAATAGTGAACCAGGGGTTGAAGACATCCTTCTCTATTAGGAGAAGAAGTAGTTCATTTTAGGACAGGAAGTAACACGGTGCATCCCAAGTTCTTCCCTTTTTCTCCCCTTAAAACAATCTTCAAGCAAGTCGGCATGTGCGTGTGTGTTTTCTTTGTTTGGGTTCTTTTTTGGTTAATCCTCACTGGAGGGTGTTTTCCCCATTGATTTTAGAGAGAGTGGAAGGGAGGGGGGAGGAGGAGAGAGAAACATTGATGCGAGAGGGCCACATCCATTGGTTGCCTCTGTGTGGGCCCCGGGAACCTGCAACCCAGGCACGTGCCCGTGACCGGAATGGAGCCCGAGACCCTCCGGCTCCTGCGCCAAACCTCTGAGCACTGAGCACGCTGGCGGGCGGGCGCGGGGACCTGTGTGGCTCTATGACGTGGGTCTCTGCGTGGTGGGTTCAGGATGCTGCTTTGCTCGGGTGGGGATTCTCAGCTGAGGCTGCGGCCGGCCGCCTGGAGTTGCAGAGGGTTTCTGCTCCGATGGCCGCCCGGCCGGTGCCCGCTGCGGAGAGCTGGGAGTTGTGCTCTGTGAACCGCCGTGTTACTTCTCACCAGAAGGCATTTTCATGCTTGTCCAGAGATGAATGATAATGTGTTCGTGCACATTTAGGAGGAGATAGCTTGAAAGTTATCCGGCTACTTAGGAGCCATCGATGTCTTGCTATTTCTCGGGGTCGATTTATGCAGCTGGAGTTTTTGGGTAACGGAACCTTTTTGCCCATGAATTACACAGAGTCACAGGGTGTCCTAGGTCAGCCCAGGACAACAGCCTCGAGCTACTTGTGCCATCACCTTAAACTCCGGGCAGCCGCTTCCTGGGCCACGGGAACCGCCCACTCCCACTGTGGCCTGATGGCAGTGGACTCTGCCTAAGTCCACTTCACGTGTCCATTCTGATGTTTGATCTTTTGCACGTGAAGCGACTGGTATGGAAGTGGAACCCGAGGCTTTCTGGCTATTCTCAGAACATGATTCTGTCCCGGGGAGTTCTGTTCTTAATTGAAAGCGGCCCAAGGAGTCGGGTGCTGGAGCGGTCAGGAGGGCCCGTGTGCTCCCCTTCCTTCCTGCATCAGACTGGGCTGCCTCCTGCGGCCGGGTAGGTGCTGGCGTTACAGGACAGACCGCTTTCTGCTCCCGGCCCTGCCTCACGCAGAGGCCACCTTTGGGAGCCGTGTGTCCGCTTGTCACCAGTTTGAGCTGCAGGTCAGACACTGTTGCCGGTTCATATCCAAAGGCCCGCTCTCGGCTGCTCCAGCACCGGGGTGGGGCAGCTCCCAGCTCCTGCCTTCGGACCTCAATTCATTCCAGGAGGAAGAGCAACCAAACCCTTTCTGAGCGAAGGAAAGACCCCAGCACACTAGACCCGGCGGAAGCGGGGTGGCCTCCGGGGCTGTGGCAAGGCTGCGGTGCGTCTGCATGCCCGTCTGTGCTCCTGGGGGAGAAGGGCTCGGCCCGGCCGGGCTCCGGCCCTGAAAGGGCTCTGGCTTCCTGCGAAGGCGGCCGGCGGGTGGGCTGTGATGAGGAGACCGGGAGCGCACGCTCCACGTTCACTTAGAGGCACCTCGGGTGTCTCTCCCTCTGGTCGACGTTAACAGTCTCGGCCTTCAACACCAGGAGGGTCAGGCTTCCCGAGGCCTCTGTGCCCGCAGCATCATCACCTGCCGGATCTTCAACAAAATCCCCACCTTACGATTGAGGAAATCAGTCGTGTATAGACAGCAGAATGGGGGCTACCAGAGGGGGAGGGTGGGGAGCAGGACAGGTGTGAGGAGCAAACACAGGCCCTGACCGGTGGTAGGAGGATCTAGACCCGTGGTCGGCAAACTGCGGCTCTTTGGCCGCTTGAGTGTGGCTCTTCCACAAAATACCACGTGCAGGCGCACATGTACAGTGCGATTGAAACTTCGTGGCCCATGCGCAGAAGTCAGTTTTTGGCCTGGGCGAGTCTGTTTTGAAGAAGTACTCTTGATATTTGGCTCTGTGGACTAGTGAGTTTGCCAACCACTGATCTAGACCTTGGGTAGGAAGCGCGCATGAGCAGGCAGGTGTCAGAACGTTGTACGCCTGGAATGTACGTAAAGTTACTAACCAGTGTTACCCCAAGACATTTAACAAACATTATTAGTCAGTCATAGGCTTTTTGAGAATAGGATGACAGTTTTGAAAAGAAAATTCCCTAAATGACAAATGACCTGAGTGTTTCCCAGATAGCGAAAGCTGAGTAAATCCAGTTCTGGCGTCTTTCAAAGCAGCGCCTGTTGTTTGGGGTCTAATGATGGTGTCTTCACGTCCCCTTATTTGGGTCTCGCTCCCCAGTGCATGGCCTAGGGCAGGAGTTGGGTCTGCGGGGGTCTCTGGGCCCCACCCACCTCTGCGGGTTTCCCAGTGTAACCTGCGACCGCGGCTCGACGGGGTCTAGCTGGGCATGTTGCCTTTGTGTTCTGTTTTGAATCGAGGAAAGCAAGGTCCCTGTGACTGAATGTGCGTGGGCCCTGCAGCCCAAGGAGATGTCACGTTTGAAGTGACGTTGTGCTTGAAAACGGGGAGACTTTAATTGTAGATGGCGATTTACACCTCCTGTCTATGCTTGTGAATGGGGGTGGTCATGTCAAAATGTTCATCGGGAACTCTCCCTTCCCCTCTAAGAAATGTTCGTAGCTGAGTTGTACTTGTTAAAAAAAACAAACCTCTGACTCCAGACGGAGTGACCACAATGCCCTGCAGTGGCCATGCCCAGCGCCTTGCTCGCTGCACGTGGGTCTGTGCTTTCCGTTGGTGACTACGTAAGAGCATCTGTTGTGTCTTGCGCCTCCGGCATCATTTCGCTGTTCAGACCTCGTGTGAGAAGGAGGTCAGAGGATCAGATGCTGCTGACCTGTCGCTTTCCCAGACGTGGACTCGTGTCCATAGGCTCCCAGGCTGTGCCGGAGGGAACAGAACGCTGGGGCCCTAGCGGGCGTGTCTCCTTCGCCCTGAGCTGCTGTCCGGGGGGGAGACGTGGGGGGCTCCTGGCGCGTCCACACTCCCTGCCTGTGGAAGTAGCGGCCCAGCCAGCGCTTACCAACATGCCTTTCCTTCCCAGCCGTGGGCCGGCAGCGCAGCCTGTGAGAACCCGTGCTCCCTGATCCCCACGCCAGACAAGGACGACAATGAACTGGTGTACCCCATCTCCGCACACAAGCCCCCTGGCGCCAGGCCCCCCAGAGCCTCGCCCCTGCCTCTGCTGAAGTGAGTGCCTGCCCTGCGCCCCCGGCCCGTGTGGTGCGGCAGGTGCCCGCTGACCCCTGTCTGTCCTCACTGTGTGTATCCTTGTAGCTGGGCCAACCGAGAGGAGGTTTGGAGAATCATGTTGAACAAGGAGCAGATGTACCTCCGGGACCAGCACCTGCTGCAGCGGCACCCTCTCCTGCAGCCGAAGATGCGCGCCATCCTCCTGGACTGGCTGATGGAGGTGAGCTGCGGCCCGGCCGGCGGGCCCTCTGTGCTCCCAGCCCGGCCTTCGTCCACTGGCACAGTCCGAGGCTCCGAGGCTGGCACTGTCCCGAGTTTGTAGTTGAGACCGTCTGTCCGAGCGGGAGCCTGACCGCAGCCTGGAGTCTTCACTCCGCTGTCCAGAGCTCTGCCTCTTCTGCAGGAGAGCGTGGACATTTGTAGTCGTTCTTATTTTTTATTTTTATTTTCTGTCTTTAAATGTATTACTGATTTCAAGAGAGAGAGAGAGAGGGAGGGAGACATGGATGTGTTCGCTTGCTTATACATCCATTGGTTGGTTCTTGTATGTGCCTGCCTGGACCCGCCCTGCAGCCTTGGTGTGTGGGGATGACGCTCCAACCAGCTGAGCTCCGGCCGGGGCGGGACGTGTAGACTTTACCCAAACGTGCCCTCAGCTGACCGAGCTCGGCCGCTGTGAGGAAATGCCGGTGCTGTCAAGTTGGGATGGACTCACGGGGCAGCACTTGGAGCAGGTCCCAGCGTTTGTGACAGGCTGCGGGGCGGCCTGAGCGCGCTCCAAGCTTCTTGCCGATGGCAGCTCGCTCCTCCGCGTCCCCTTCCTGCGCCTGAGCTGAGGGGCAAGCGGGGTCCTTTCAGGGAAGCAGAGGTCTCCCTCCATCTGTCCTTCCTGCTCCCTCAGCAGCCGGTGTGAACGCCCTTGTCCCGGCAGGTGTGCGAGGTGTACAAGCTGCACAGGGAGACGTTCTACCTGGCGCAGGACTTCTTCGACCGCTACATGGCCACGCAGCACGACATCGTCAAGACGCTGCTGCAGCTCATCGGCATCTCGTCCTTGTTCATCGCCGCCAAGCTGGAGGTGCGTGGTCTGCGGGCACCGGGGGCGGGGCTCACGCGGCCCCTAGCGCCCCTGAGATTGGGGCGAGGCCCACTGTCTGCGTGCACACCCCACATTTCCCCACGTGAGGCCTTCTAAAGCTGAGCCCCACACACAACCCTAAAAATGAACCAGGAAGGGCGAGAAGCGATGCGTGCATGACATGCTCAGGGTCACGTAGTCCGTAAGCGGAGAGGTTAGTGCTGACCTAAGAGGATGGCAGTTGGGGTGTGAGGACAGAGTGGACGGGCCCAGCTTCCAAAGATGCTGCCCAAAGTATTGGGCATGATCAACATTTCAGATTCCTCCCAGCAAGGAGAAGTTTGATGGATTGGTTGACTGGTTGGTGAGGGTGGGTGTTTCATTTCTTTCCCGTTAACGCAGTGTGAACCCCTGGAGTGGCTCCGCATTTATCCCAGGTGTGTTCCCT